TTAGGATTTTAATTTGTCAGGATTTTGTATATCAGGATTTTGTTGCCGGGATTTTGTGTGTTGGGATTTTGTGTGTCGGGATTCTGATATACAACTGTTCAAAACTATCCAAGCCTATATTCAAGATTTAAATAATTAATAAATTAATTTAATAAAATATATAATTATATATTTTTTTAGATGCTAAATTTATTTTTCAAAAAATTAAAATAGATTATTTTAATAAAATTTTAAGTAATTTTAATTTGAAAAAATGTCCAAAATGTTCAAAAAATATCTAATATACAACACTACCCTAGAGCATGCCTAAGTGCATGCTCTTTAACCAAAAGACATGCCTATATCATGTGATCTATAGCTAATGTATGATTGGCTATTTCTGCGATTAACCAATTAGAATACAAATATCTTATTATATATAGTATATACAGTACTTTTATTATTTATATTATTTTATTGATAGCCATTTTATACAGTAAATAGCACATTTTATTAATAATTATTTACTAACAAGTTTATTTTACCAACAGTCTAATTACTAAAGCTCATTTCACCAACAAGTTTTTTTTATAACTAATAATATTGGCCAGAATTACTTTGTCTGTAAAATAAGCTTCAATGAAATAAACCATTGATAAAATAAACTTGTTGATAATTATTAGTGAGTTGATCAGATCCTCTTTTATATTTGAGGGGCATGCCCAGGGCATAGAGAGGCATGCCCCAAAAATTTGCTATGCCTCCAACCCTAGTTATAATTAGAATTTTTTTTTAAAACTGTATTATGTGAATCATCCAGGATGGCTCCCAAAAGTTCGGTGACGTAAGATTAGTTAGTGTGCAAATTGTCTCTGTCACCGAACTTTTGGGGGCCGTTCTGGATGATTCGTATTATGTCTTAATATTAGCTTTAACTTTTATATAAATTTTAAAAAACCTGTATTTGCTGTTTAATAAAACTACAGTATATACTGTAGATAATAAATAATTTTAATTTATATACAGTATAATTATATTTCTAATTTTTAGTTTAGATTTACTAAAAGTTACACATTTATTTTCGGCAAAAATTATGAAAAGCTTTTTAAAAAAGAATAAATACATAGTAACAAAATTCTATAGAATCAGCTTAATTGTTAATAAATTTACATGTATCAATGATAGCTTATGGATTTTTGTAATTATCGGTCATGTGCTTTATGTTGAATTTATATGTTTTTGCGATATGATTTAGATGTCTGTCAAACATTGATCCGCTATTAGATTCATTTGGTAATAATTATAATAATTTATAGAATCTAGTAAATTTAAGCAAACCATGACGAGTTTGATAAATTAGCTTTCAAGATAATTTTTAATTTATTTTCAATTCCTCAACACTCTCAGTAACTTCCGAACCACCACCTTTATTAATTATTTCGACATAATTTGAAGGAAACATTCCTTGTTCACCATTCCTCAAACGACCTCGCCACCATTGAGATGGTTGACCAAACATATCGTTTTTACTCAGAATTGCTATGATATCACCGCGTTTTAGACTCAACTCCATTGAAGATTCACCCTTGAAATCATAAAGAGCTCTACAAAATTCGAGATTCTGAGCGAACCCAGGGGTTAGTTGTTCAGGAATAATCAGTTGAGAGCCAACTTGCTGTGGATTACCACTGATTTCTTGTCTCCGCCGTGATATAACTTGAATAAATTTATGCATTAAATATGGAACACCAAAGACAGCAAGTACAAAGAAGATTAATGGACGACGAGAAAATTTTTTTCTTTCTTGAAACTGTTCAAATTGTATTGGATTCAATTCTTGAGGATCTACGGGTGGTCTCCTACCCGTTATCTTGTAAAATAAATGACGTATCCAACGTATCAGTGTGAAAATACTCAAAACTTGGCCTAAATAATTGCGTAAATTTCCAAATTGTTCGACAACACCGACCATGGCCATAAATGAAGAATGAGTAGCGAAATAAGTAGATTCTAACATTTGAGCAAAACCACCAAAAGCATTAACTATTGATTCAATCATTTGGAAGCCAGCAGCAGTATTTGCTTCCATTCTTTGAGTTAATGATAAATCATCAGGGCCATTTGGACCATTTGGACCCATCATCCCTCCATGCGCATTAAAACGATAGTAGGGACTGTAAGAAGCATAGGAACCACCACCATAACCACCGTAAGTACCGTAACCATAACGGTTATATGGTGAATAAGAAGAAGAATATGAACTATAACGGTTGTAAGGAGATCCATAGGTACTACCATAAGTACCATAACTAGAGTATGGAGTATTATAATTCGTGGCATAAGAATTATAGCCTTGAGAACACATTAATTCGTCAAAATAAGTAAAACATTATTAAATAAGGACTTTAAACAAAAAAAGTAATAAATTAAAGATACCTCTTGTAAAAGTCGAACTAGTTGTTGAAGGCCTTGCAGGAAGAGCAGGCGCAGTGTCTGCTGTGGAGCTTTGTGGAAAGGATGAATTTGTTCCTGGTAATTGAGTGGTAGTTGTGGTTTTTGTAGCAGTTGCTTTCTCCCATGGCTTTGGTGGTGAAGGCATAATAGAATTCAGAAAGGAAAAGAAGAAAAAAGAGGGTGCTAGTTTAAAATTGTAAAAAGCCAATAAAAAAAAGTTCACATAAGATTATGCACGTGACTGACACCATCTCAGGTTAGTAATAATCTCGATCAGCGGATCAGTACGTAGATAACGTATTACTGTATTAGTTAAAATTGATTTTCACTATCTACATTTTTAAGATAGCTGATAGATTAAAACGCTATACGTATAAATGTAAATGCTTTTTTTTTCTTAAAATTAAATGTAAAAGTTAAGAATCATAAAACTTATAAATTAGTTCTCATAACAAAAAAACTCGACTTATTTTCACTCGGATAATAAAAAGTTGGTAAAATAACCCGGTCAGGTTACATAATTTTATACGTACAAAAATATATATATATATATATATACAGTATATATATATATATATATATATATATATATATATACTATATATACCTGATATCTGATATACTATATATACGTACGTGCGTAATACAATGTCACGGGGCATTGCATTCACACATGATTAGAAGCTATTGCTAGTTCGATTAATTAATTAATTAAGCCTTTAAACAAAAACCGTTAAATGTCCGAAACCATCTATTATTTTTGTTCCGGATAGTTTGAAATGAAAGTCACGTTATATTTTAAATATATAATTATAATAACAGATAATGACGCGCCCATTTTCATATCGCCGATAACCTGAGAATCAAATAGATAACAATTTTTCCTATCTGCTATGTCACGAAATTATTTGTAACTACGCAAGATATTTTAATTCATCAATTCATTAACAAGTTAACATTTTTTTAAATCGAATGCGGAGTCGATCATCTTTATATCACTTAATACATCATTATTACGAATAATGACAAACTTATCATACTATTACGATTTCATACGAAACTATCGTAGTTTGATGACAAATCAAAAGTCAATTCACATATTCAGCAGTAAAAAAAAAAAAAATTTCTAATTATTGTTAAACTCAGTATTGATGACAGAGATATATAAATACAGGTCATATAGACGTGATCTTTGTTAATTCTTTTAAAGGTAAATATATGATAAATATTTTCATATTTTCAGACTTTTGAAATTTTAACTAAAAAACGCGTCTCGTTTTATTTTATCATATTAATAAATAATAAATATTATTCCATATGAAAGGATGAATTCACCTGACGAGGAATTGAATAAACAGCAAACACAAGATAACATTGGTGAAAAAACAAAATCTAGTCAAGAGACACCAGTTGATAATGAAACACAAACAGATTTAAATAATAATGTCGCTCGATCGTCAATAGAATCCTTGCTTGGTTTTGTTACACCAAAAGAAGATACTATTCACACCAAAGAAGATAAAGTCGAAACAAAATCAAATTCAAGTATACCCATAATTGGAGATACACCCGTAATTGAAGAGACACCCATAATTGGAGAACCATCCATCATTGGAGAGAGGAAAGGATCGATTATTAACGGAAATACATATATCACTTTTACTCCACAACCCAATAATACGCAGAGTTCACAGAATGTACAAAATGTTCTCCATTATTATCATGCACCATCGCCTGAACTTTCACAGTCACAGACCATGACACCCATCAGATCAATCTGTAGTGTTATTTCACCTTTACCTTCACATACACCAACACCAACGCAACAACATATATCACCGAGATTACACACGACCGAACAAAATTTAACAACAGATATGAACGTTTCACGACAAGAACCTCATGCGATATCATTTTATCCTCAACATATGCATATGTCAATTCAACCTACAGTTTCAAATGCTTATTCACATATTCAATATGAACACGCAACGCATGCTACAACGACGATGAATCAACAACATATCTTACGTCATCACCAAATTGGCCAATCACCTGAAACACAAGTGACTCAACAACCTCAACCTATTCTTCAACAATTGTCAGTGCAGGCAAATTCACATAGTATACCTACACTTCATTATCCAATCACGAATCAACAAATAAAAACTCAAGCTGTATCAGAGGAAGAACGTCACAGGCGACGTCTCGAACGTAATCGAATAGCAGCTCGACAATGTCGAGAACGTAAAAAAGCTTATGTCACAAATTTGGAAACTCGAGTCACAAGACTTGAAGAAGAAAATTCAAGATTACGACAACAACTTGGAAATTTACAAACAAAATTGAGTTATTGTCCAGCTGAAGTTCAAGAAACTTTGAGATTGTATTGCTTAGTTGAAGACTTGAAAGAGAGATTAAGTAACGGGCAAACAATAAAGACTGATCCGAAAATCGGTGGGACATAGTGAAAATTAAATAAATCGAATAAATTGAATAAATGAATGGATTTATATATCATTTCGCCTTGTGCTTTTTTTTTTTTTTTGATTCGCTTTTTTTGCTCGTGAATAGAAGAAGATTCACGCATAATCTTTCGCGTATTTTTATTTCGTAAATTAGTTTATATTTATTTTATACAATCTAGCGCATGCGTTATATCTATGATCTCACCATCAAAGCATTCATTATACATTCTTAGATTTGAACTTATCCTAAAAAAATTGTACTGTACATGACGTGAAGGTGGTATATATTCCTTTACGTACGTGTTATGCTGATTTCATCAAATAACGTTAAATAATAATTTCTTTTTAGTTATTATTCTCAAATTGGGTACAATGTCACGATATTCATATTCATTAATTATATATTATTAATTTATTATTGATAATTATATATATACGTATTAATTATACGTATAATATATATATAATTAATTAATATATAAAGACGATAACGATAATGGATAATAACTAACAATAGGTACAATGATACTTAACAATGAGGGCGGGTCTGTCCATCGCACAACTCACGTGACTATTGCACATACTCTGGGTACTCTGAGATGATATTACTGTAATAATTTCTTCCGCACATCATAAAAACTTGAATATCCTAACCTAAAATCAGTGGAGAATCGTCAAAGTTTTTTTTTTTTAATTCAAATTTTCTATATGGAAGTTGTCGCTTACGTATGTACGTACGTCGTGCGTACAGTGTTGTACATTTTTGATCGTCCGAGCTTTTTTTTTGTCCATTCCATAAAAATGTATATTTATATTTTGTGTATTTATATTTTAGTACATGCAAAGTGACAAAATCGATCATTCGTGAAATGTCACAAGGTTTTTTTATCAATTCAATATATATCCTCATTTGTATCTGTACAAGAACACAAGTTTCTTCATGGAAATGTATTGCATATAATTTAAATTATCCATTTGTATCTCGATTGCATGATCACCTTTGCTTCAATATATCAATTATGTCATTCTATACGTATAAAGTCATTTAATTTGAATTCTCATAAATGATTTCCCTATTTTTTCGTCGTGCTCTTGACTGTGTCGTTTTCCACACCCTTGCTGTATAAATAGTCACTGTATGGTAGGACAAGTGTAAGGTTCTCTTTTAAACGTTTTATATTTTCTGGTTACGCAAAAACTTTCGAAGAAGCTTTATAGTTTTTTCATTTTTTTTTTTTTTATCAAGCTTATTTCAATGAAAATTTCATTATGTTTGAATCTACGTCCACTAACGAAAATGTTACTGTAACTCAAGAAGGTGAAGTATCTGATAAACTGTCTTCAAATAATAAAGACACTCCTCCTCCTTCTGTTACTAGTAACATTTCGGTCGACCTCAAAAATACCTTTCCTACTTCTGATCGTTTCATTCAAATTATTGATGTTCCTAAAGCTCTAAATATTCAAAACAATCAAAGTAATCCTCAATTTATTCAAAATAATCAATTTATTCAAAATAATGAAATTATTCAAAATAACCAAATTCAACCTATTCAAAATATTCAAAATATTCAAAATGTTCAAAATAATACAATTAATGATTTATCTTCAAAAGTAATACATTTATTGGATGCAACAACTGAGGATCCCTTTACTCTAGAAACTTTTGAAACGCTTATACATCAACATACCGATAAAGCTAAAGATTTTATTTTGGCTAGAGTAACTACTGCTGATCCTTCGGATGATTCAAAGATATATAATTCTTATTATTCGGCTCATCATATTAATAAAGTATTGTTTAGGACCCAACCTGAACAAGGTTTATTACATAGAATGAAAGCAAAAAATGTATGTATGTTTATTAAACATATATATCTAATTAATTAATTTATCTTAACAAAATATATATATATAAATATCTTTTTTAAATTATTCTAAATTTTAGCCTTTAAATAATATGAATATTATTGGTGACGTATATTATTATGTCGTTAAAGCTGAAACTGTTAAACCGATTCAATCTTCAACCTCTCCATTAACTGTCCAAACCAAAAATTTTTTACTCGAAAATGGTGTTCCTATGGCTGAAATATCTGCTACCTCTGCTCTTGATACAAATGAAGGAGATTATTTGATTAATATTGATCCTGATAAAATAATACATAGAGAATGTGGTTCACATTCTTCTCCTCCTTCCATATGGCAAGGTGATCGAGATGTTGATGATTCTAATCCAAATAATTCTGATATAATCAAAAATAATGAACGTCGATGGTCTGAGAATGATTTAATACAACCTCCTCCAAAAGTTTTTCATCCTGTTCATCTTCAATCAAAAAGACATTCTTCTATTACTAGTCTACCTTCTTCTGATCGAATTACTGATCTATACTTGCAATCTCAACCTTCTATCACTACTCCTGATAATATTCAATTACATGAAATCAATTCTACTTCTTCAGTGTCAACTCATCAAAATGACATTACTACCGTTTCAAATCCATTATCTTCTACTTTGGAAATTTCAAAAATACCAAATTCGTTCTATAAATTTGAACACACAAAATATAATACACCTCATAATTTTTATAATCAAAATCCTGTTTCAATATCTCCTTTAACAAATCATCATTCCTCTATATCTCCTAATTCAATTAATTCAAATGAAAAAGAAAATACTCGTAATGCTTATTATTATCAAGCTATTTTTTATGCTACCGATGATGATTTCTTGATGAAATCTTCTGTTCGGCAATATTTCAAATATCACGCTTTAGATCCGTCCGATACTCAACTATTTATTATCAACACTTCTCAAAGTACTCATGCAACCGGATCTTTAAACGCCACACCTCCCAGTACCCATTTGGAACGTATAATTGCTAACAACGGAACATTTGTTGATGACAGTACTACAAATAGTAGAAATGACTCAATTGGTGGTTCGAGATGGGCAAGGCAATTACGAAATATTCGTTCAAATAAGGGTCTTAAGTGGTTGGTGTTAATGTATATGGTTTTTGGGTTTTTACTAATAAGGTTCGTAGTCAGTGAGGCTTACGCATACCTTATGGCTTTTTTGCTGATGCTATGTTTGTTTCTCGTCTTTTGTGTTGGAAGTGGAATTGGTATTTGGGGAAGATAATGCTATGACCAATTTTTTCGATTCTTTAAGGAATCGTATTATATTTGCTTATTTTATCTAATATTTTGATTGATTTTTTCAAAATCACCAATGAACTTTTTTATATATATATATACTCAAATAATCTTTTTTAACAATATAAATCTGTACTAGTATTATTTCTATTATTACTACTATTATTGGTACCTTTTTTCTTTTTGTAAAAAAACGGCCATTCTTTATATGCCACCAATTATAAGCTTAGAATTTGATAATTGATAAAATTAAAACAGTGTAAATAAATTTTTCTAATAATATATTTTTTTTTTGGTTTATAAATTATAAACTTTTAATTTATTTTATAATATTTAGCATATAATGAAAATAAAATTTTTATTCATATAAATCTTTTTAATTGAATATTTTTACTTGGTTTTAAATTATAAATATTTCAAGATTTTTATACAGTATTTCTAAATGCAATATTTGTAAATGCAATATTTGTAAATACAAGATTTGCAAATTTTTTATATAGACTTCTTAGTTGTGTATTTAAAAAGAGTTGACTATATTTTACAAACCCAAATATTTTTATTAGCTTATTATATATAAAGTATTGTAAATATTGCTATTAAGTTTAAACCTATTTATGAATTATTTATAAAAAAAAAAAAAATAGAAAAAAAAAAAATAAATGAAAAAAAAGAAATAAAATACTATATACTGTATACTGTATATATATCAAATATAGTATAACAAGAAGACTACATTAAAGTGGCTTAGAAAAGTAGGCATTGGGTTTAAAATCAAGCTAAAATTAAGATAAAACTCAATAAAAATCAATAAAAAAGGGAGAAATGTGTTTGAAAAAGAATACTGTAAAAATTATAAATCTTACTACTGTATATACAACTTGTTATATAAAAGATGTTACATAAAATTTATTAAAATTTTGCAAATCTGTTTTATCAAATTTACAGTATTATTAGTGTGCTATATGTAACATTTGAATTCTATACATTTATATAAATAAGGTCTCAAAGGTTTTAAATAAGCTGAGAGATGCAAATTAATATAAAACAATCAAAGGTTTAGTGCAAGCAAATAGTTTACAATTTAGTGCAAGCAAATAGTGTACAAATTAATAAAACTAAATACACTGAAAAATATTAAAATTATATAAATGCAAAACTTTTATAAACGAAAATGGGTATCATAAAGGAGAAATGATTAAGTGGTTGCGAGTTAAATATGAATCGATCCTATTAAATTATAAGATGAATCGATCCTATTAAATTATAAGATGAATCGAATGACAGTTCTAACATCCTAGTCCCGGTGAATATTCAATATTGTGCATGACATTTCCAGTTTTATAATTTAAATTATTTTGTCTACTTCTATACGCCCGTAGACCAAAAATACATTAAAAAGAAAAAAAAAAAAAAAAAGCCTAGTTTACAAAATATTATCTATAGACAAAAAGTTAAAAAATAAATATTAGGATGGATTTAGGTCACTCTTGAAGATTATTAATATGAAATGTAAATTATGACTTCTCATAAAGAGAAATAGGAGGAATTAGAAATAGTATTCCAACAGTTATTATCGATGCAAGAGTATCCCACATTATAAGTTTTAAGAATCGTTTACGATGAGCCAATAAAACGGACCTTTCTCGAATTTTGTGGAAATTTAAAAATTTACATTCACTAAAATGTAATTAAAAATAAATAAATAAATAAATATATTATGTGAATAGAAATGCAAGAGAAATAATTATACACAAATTAGAAAACGAAGATGTACCTCACTCCAAAAATACTAAAGATAGGAGAAAATCTTGTTGCAGCGGTTTGAAGAAAAATCCACCCAAGCCATATAGCGGGAAAACCATAAAAACGAATCAAACGATTCTCTAATCCCATAAATATATAATAAAGATCCAAAGAAAAACCAAGTGTTAGGCACATTATCCCCAAAGGAAGAGCAAGTATAGCATGAACTTGAGTTATATTCATTTCGACAGCAGATTGAATGAATTTTGGGAAATATATCACATTCATTATATGATGTACATAAGATTTCGCCGAAGAAAATACTACAGGATTATATCTTCCTTGGCGTTCGATAAGATCAGCCATTGTATTTCGATTTTCTTCAGGTAGAATACTCATGTGACCATATTTTCTATATATATTCAAAGCAGATTTAGTTAAATCTTCTTCGTCAACACGTTTTACAATTTTCAGCTGACTATAACTCCTTGATTTATAGTTTTCAGGAATTGCGATTTCATGACCATATTGTGTTGATGATATATGATTATGTGACATCACAGGATTTTGAGAATCTACGGAAGTAGTTCCAGTATCATCAACACTTGAAGAAGTAGAATGATTTTGTTCCCATTCATCAACAACTTGTTCTTCATAATCATAGTCATCATCATTATCATAAACGAATTGATTCTTTTCTTCATAACTACGTCTTTCCCTTGCTTTTTTTGTATGATTTTGATACTCCCGCCATGATTCAAATAAATTCTCATGAGTCACAACGTCTAACCAGAAATTTAAGTTCTCTTCACCCTGCCATTCTTGTTGAAGGTAAGAATAGAAATTATATTGAGATAGTGGAGAGCCAGTTTTATTCATTAAAACTTTTTCGAGTGGTGGAAAAGATGTAGTATCAGTTATTATATTATTATAAGACTCTTCAGTACTGAAAGTATCTTGTTGAGATAAATTATTAAAAACACCACTTGTTGAATCAGGGTAGATTTGCTGTGACGAAAAACCATGGTGTGAAAAAGTATTATCATGAGCAGTTTTCATAGAGCTACCAAAGGCCATTTTAGGTACTGTTAAAGTAGAGCTTGTCGATTGCTTAGGTAATGGAGAGACATTATTTTTATTAATTTGTTCCATTGCGCGCAAGAAGCTCGCAACATATATGATAAAAAAAAAATAAGTCGATAAAAAAAATACTGAGAGTTCGGTGATAATAGATAGGATCTTGGTTAAAGAATGATAATCTTGTACTCAGTACAGTATTAATATTAAATATCCATTTTTCTCTCGTTCTATGAATATTAATGAAAGATTGTAGGATTGTAGGTAAGTTAGTTCACTACAGTATTATCCTGTTTAAAGAACTAAGGGGGTGATTTCTTGATATTAAACTTTTTACATTATAATTAACACTTATTCGTACGCACCTATAAAAAAAAATTGAGCCTCCTTGTGGAATGGATTGTGGAATGGTTAAAACAATTTTATTCGGGACAAAATGAATAATATTAACGCAAATACTTCTTTTGGAAAAAATTGACATGCA